AGAAGGGCTCGTGCACAGGTTAGACAACTACAGTTCTCTCTGTCATCAGTTTTCATGGTTTCTCATACAGCCCTTCTCCATATATAGATACTGGAGATTTTGCCCAGTGGATTCCCTCAAGGTCTCAGTTTCATGAAACTTGTCAAGGCTTCCACAGACTGTTTTGCCACCTAGTGAGACTTGTTTCAAAAAAAAAAAAAAAAGTGAAATAGGGAAAAAATTAAGTGGCAAATGAGAATAATAGTCCTCACAGGTGAAGGTGTCCATAGAGACAGGAGATAGGTGGCTTCATTTTGGTCAGCAACTCACCTGGGCCAGTGGAATGTCTTTGTTTGGATAAAAAAGACCTTTCTGTACCTCAATATAGACAACCAGGGACAGAAGTGCACCATATGAGCAGAATGGCTTTCAGAAGAGAACAGAGAGTCCTTAACATTTTCGGTTCAGTTCCCCAGAAGAATGAAAGTGAGCAATTTTGAATGGAAATGATTGTCAAATGGGAACATAAACTACGAACATATTGGCAACAAAGGAAGTTTAGCAACAACACTCCTTCAGTTTCAGTTAAAGTGATTTACGCTAAGTTGATAAACCAGTTGGTTTAAATGGTCACAGGACATTTTGTCTGTGACATCTCTCTTGACCTCAATGACTCCAGTCATAATTAGTCTAACTGCACATGTTCTAAACTCACACATGTCTTGGATCAGGCTATAGAACTTAACACATGGAATATTCATTTGCTGTACATGTGTCTGTCTACCCAATAAAGTCTGAGCTTCTGTTCCTGGGGTTGGGCAAGGTGAACCACTTGGTCATGCCCTCTCCATATCTCGTTTACAAATGAAAAGTGCAACACAGCGATATGCCACTGGACATGAAGGCAGAAATCCTGGATTTGAGCCTAGATCTATTTCTGCAACTAACTGGAGGTGTGGGACAGAGATCAATGGATCTCAGATGCTTCTGTGTTCAGTGATCAACAGGTCTAAAATGTCACTGTGCAGGAGACTTAATTGGAAAAGTCATTTCACAAATTTAGATTCTTAGCTTAAGAGATCCCAATTTGAAAGTGTTAGAGTGGGGCATAGAGCCCTAATTGTAAGTATTCTAGGCTTGTTACACTGATTATAATTAATCAATATAGTTCTGGAAACTGGGACTTAACTGATCTCTAAGGCTACTTCTAGTTCTAATATTTGAGTGTTCTAAGGAGTCGTAGACATCTGAATACAAATCTTACACTAACTTTTATGGTTTGTCAGTTCATGTGTGTGTGTGTGCTCATGTGTGTGCTCCTACATCATGAAAAAGTAGAACTCTTCCTTTACTTCATGCAAAGTTCAATCGACAAATTATAAGTAAATTTTAGATAATTGGTAGTGAGGATGAATTTGTTAACACCAAGTTTGACAGAGTAAGAGTAGAGGCTGAAGATAATAAGGCACTGATCTAGAACAACATCAGTGAGGAGGAAGAGGGAAGGAGATAATTGCATTAAGATTTACAGGGATTAATGAGCAATTTATGCAGATTAATGTCATGAGTAAATTGTGTGACTTATTCAGAAAAGTAAGCATTCCTGAGTAAACCTCTACTTTTAACCTGAATGTCAAGTAAATGATAACAATATTTTCTAAGGTTTAGAATATTCAATGAAGACCAGGTTTGAAAACAAACCAATAAATTGCAATAAAGACATTACCTTTGAAGTGCCTATCAGAAATCCACTTAGAGTAGCTCAATAAACTTAAATTGGATATATAAGTAATGGAAGGTTGAAAAGGCACAGAGATAACCACACAAAAGCGATATCACTTTTAAACATAGGAACAAAGGAGTAAAGGTACTCTTGGGGGCTACTGCTCAAAATTCTCTTCCTTGTATGTAGCTAGAGCTTGAACCTATGAGGGGGGGACACAGTACCAGGTGCCCAAGTCTCTTAGTGGGGTACACCACATAAGTCATGCTTAAAATTTTACGGGAGCAATGCTCAATGACTGATGTGCAGGCAAATGAGGCAGAGGCACTTGATAGCCAGTGTTCAGACTTCTGAGGAGGAGACATGGTCCAACAGGTGCGTGGATAGACAAGGTGCATAGAAAAGCAGATTGTAGCTCAGCTGGTCCTCTTACAACCAGGGAGGTAGAGCTAAGATGCTGCTGGTCCTTTTCTAGCACATTTGTGGGGCTGCTGAAAAAGTGGAAAGAATAGAAAGCCTGAAGCGTGGAGCCAACCATCTGGTGCCATTGGAATGCTGCTGACAAAAACAGCATAGGAACAGATGCCTTCACTCCTCATTTTGTTTTCCACTCTCCTGCTAATACCTTTCATTAAAGGTGCTAACTGGCCAAGAAGTATGACAAATGTAGTTTTCAGAGTCTCAGCACAGCACCACAGAGCAAAGAAGTCATAAAAGTAAAGAAGTAACACCATGTCATTAGTACATAAACAGTGAGAACCAATGGAATGGAGGAGATTGTTTAGAGATAACACGTTTAATAAGAAGAGAATGAAACATAGGTGAAAGCAATCCCAGCCAAGAGAATATTAGCAAGAGTCAGCAAAGAAGACTGAGAATGTGTGGAGAAGACAAAGAGAAATGTCCAGCAGACAAACATTCTCACAGGCAGAAGAGAGAGAAATTAAGGTGCAGGAGATAGATCACCTTGTAAAATGTTTCAGAAAAGGCCTGAAAGATGAATACTGGCCATAGGTCACTGGAGTCAGCCCTGGTAATTTATTAAGAGAACAGCTACTATTAAGTGACTAAGGAGGTACCTGGTAGCTTTATAAAGAGAAATTCCATTAGTATGATGACAGCTAAAATAATCTTCTTCTCCTTCACCTTCTCCTTCTCCTCCCCCTCCCCTCCCCCTCCCTCCTTCCTCCTCCACTGCTGCTGCTGCTGCTGCTGCTGCTGCTTCTTCTTCTTCCTCTTCTCCTTCTTCTCCTTCTCCTTCTCCTTCTTCTTCTTCCTCTTCCTCTCCCTCTCCTTCTCCTTCTCCTTCTCCTTCTCCTTCTCCTTCTTCTTCCTCCTCCTCCTTCTCCTCCTTCTCTTCTTTTGAAACAGGGTCTCACTCTGTCATCCAGGCTGGAGTGCACTGACTCACTGCAGTCTCAACTTCCAGGGCTCACCCTCAAGCAATCGGGACTGCAGGTGTGAGCCACTACACCTGGTTTTTTTTTTTTTGAGACGGAGTCTTGCTCTTGTCACCCAGGCTGGAGTAGAATGGCATGATCTTGGCTCACTGCAACCTCTGCCTCCTGGGTTCAAGTGATTCTCCTGCCTCAGGCTCCTGAGTAGCTGGGATTACAGATGTGTGCCACCATGCCTGGCTAATTTTTATATTTTTAGTAGAGACAGGGTTTCACTAGGTTGGCCAAGCTGGTCTCGAGCTCCTGATCTCATGATTTGCCAGCCTCGGCCCCACAAAATGCTGGGATTACAGGCATGAGCCACTGTACGCGGCCTAAATTTTTAAAATTTTTTGTAGAGATGGGGTCTCCCTCTGTTGTCCAGGCTGGTCTTGAACTTCTAGGCTCAAAGGATCCTCCTGTCTTGGCCTCCCAATGTGCTGAAATTGCAGGCATGAACCTCCATGCCTGGCTTTAAGACATTTCTATAGGTTGAAAAGGAAATAGGGTATGAAAACACTGGAGACAGGAAATGTATGCTATTATTTCAAGTCATTTGACACTGACAGAGAAAGAAGAGGAAAAAGAAAAAAAGAAGAAATGAGAAAGCTTAAACACACTTAGATTCCCAAAGGCAGTTAGTTTTATGTGAGACAATGGATAAGGAATTTCTAGGGAAAATGCAGAAACAGAAAAATCCTCTGATTGAGGCAGATAACTTTACATAATTTCCTCCAGCATAGTTTTAAGAATAAGAAAATTAGCACCATGAAGACAAGTGGCAATACCGGAAGATCTTTCAAAAATACATTTTATTTCTTATTTTAAAACATTTTACACATTGTCTTATTCCAGATATTTTTTCTCTTTTATTTGCATCTCTATAGGAAGCCAGCTTAATTGAATAGAGAAGAACATTTTCTGGAGCAGCGCAGAGGGATTTTGCTTCTTCTGTTCTGGGAGGGTGTGCTATAAGACTTCTATGATGAAATAGTCTGTGATATATGCTTTCCTCTGCTCGAAAGCTGGGACTCCAAATGTTGGCAAATTAGGGAAAAGGCAAGCCTCGGTTTGCCATTGTTATCATTGTTATCATCTGAAAGGGCAGGGATTGCAGGATCACAACAGAGATTTTAGAAAGTGTCTTTTTATTTTTTCTTTCTATGTTTTTTTTTTCGGTTTGTTTCCATTTCTTCCTCCATTTAACTGTTCACCTGAACATGCTGAGAAACGTTCCATCTTTAGGATTGCCTTTTGTTGTTCTGTTACCCTCCAGCATGCTATTTTGTGGACATGCTAAGCAGACAAGCCCAGAAAGCCCAAAGTTGGAATAGAAATGTGACTAAGTCAGTAACTGTATAACCTTCCTGAGTCTCACTGTCCTCATTTGTAATAAGGGCATTGAATTCGATGACCTTTAGGGAACTTACTGCTTCAGAAACCCATGATTTGATCCATTCTCACTGCAAATGGCCAGAATGAAGATATTGCTCCACCTGCAGTCAACTTGAATTTTGATATGGGTGCATTTCATTCTAAAACTTGATGTTTTAGATCTAACAGGTAAATGAACAAGACTCTAAACAATTCCTACCTATAAAAGAGAGAAAGGAGTACATGACAGTGATACTGCTGAAGCAGCCACAATTAGCATCTGGCAGGTATTCCCTTTACTGAGAGGTTCAATCTGCTCACATTATAGATATCAGAATCTTGGCACAGAGGGCCCAGTGTCCTACAACTGTTTAAAGCCAGAGCTATAACTTTAGAACTCAATTCACCTGAGTGCCAGTCCAACCATTCCATTCCATCTGTTTTATCTATTTATTCAATGGCTCACTTTTTTATAAAGTGAAAAAAATCATGAATAGGCCCTGTGTCAGGAATTGACAGTGCAGAGGTCAACAAGATATAGTGTCTGCCTGGAAGAAGTTCACAGCCTAGGAAGGGTATCTCCCTGTAGCATTGGAAGCTGGACTGACATGGTTTCAGATAATCCAAACTTTGCAGATCAAAGAGAGACGGTGCAGAGAGATTTGTCCCACTGATATCGCAGCCACAGAATCTTCACCTCTTTCATTCTTGCAGCTGGTGCTTAGTTTTTAATCTTTCTTTCTCTTTTTGCAGCAATATGGTGTTAATTCAGCTCTACAGCCCCCAATCTTTACTTCAAAGGTAAGACATTCAGCTTCACAGTGACCTTCCATTCTCTTACAAATTAGTGCTCTATGAATTGCTGTCCTGGCTAAGTAAAGAAAGCAATTTGTCTTTAGTTATCTATTAATTAGTAACTATAAGATAAAATTACATTGCCCAGGCCAAATTCAGACTTCCTCATTACCATAACTCCTAGAGACACAGACTATAAACCTAGAAATTAGAAAAATCAAATGTTATCTGAATAGTCATGTCTGAGCTCACACCCCTGGTACAATATAATCAATGTCCTTATTAAATAGCTAATTGGAAAAAACAGAAAAGATTTTCATATGTCAAAATCATATCTAGCTTGTACAGAAACAGAATGTTTCTTCCAAGGAAGGTGACAAAGTACTTTCTAATTCCAATGAACCATCCTTATCAACAGATTTTTTTGTGTGTGTGTCTCCAAATAGTCTCTGATTTACAGCAAATTTAAAGATTGTTCTGTTACATTACAGGCAGACCAATAGTAGATCATATGCCCTGGCGTATGGTTTTGGAGTCTCACAGTTTTAGGTAGAAAGATAAACAACATGATGCTAGTCCTTCTCAATTTACTGTGCAAAGAACACCAATGGAATCATGTATTTAGTTCTGGCAAGCAAATTTGGAGGGACATAGGCAATGTGTATTCATTCATAACAGAGATTAGGTTGAAGAGAAAAAAAATATGTCAAAACAGGAACTTTTTTAATTGGTAAGATACATTCTTAGGAAAAAATAGTGGAAGAAGTAGCAGTTATTCTCAAAAGGAGTAACGTTTATTCCTGGAAATAACAACTTTGGAGGAAGAACAGTACATATTAGCTGCCATGTATCTGAGATATTATCATATGGAATATATTTTGTTAGTGCCAAGTTAAGGCAAAGACTAATGGAAAGAAATTTCAGGGACTTAGATTTCTGCTCCAATTAAGGAGAAATGTTTAAATAGTCCAAAGTTGAACTTGGGATACTGTGAGCTATAGATCACTGAAATTTATCAGGCATCTGGACAATCAACTGACACACACACACACACAGACACACACACACACATATATATATAATCATGTATAGGGTGTTGAATGCTGAATCATGGCAGAGAACAAAAAAATAAGTAGAAGAACAAATGACAGTTAAACAATGGTAAACTCTAACATAGCATAGAGTATGTGCCTGCCGCTGCCCAAGCAGTTATATAGAAAGATTGTTAAACTGTCCCAAAGCAGTTATTTTCACCTTCAGACTTTTAGTCATAGAACCTCTGAGTTTCTCTGGACACATGAATATTTAGCTAATCACATCAGCTCCTAGCTTCCTATTTCTATATGTCCACATGAACAAATCTGGAAAAATGAAAAAGGAGTGGAATGATGTGAACTGCTTCTATGTAATCTTAATTATGTTCTACACTTTCTAACCCTGCCTGTTAGAACATCCTTGGAACCAAATAAAATGGTCAACTGTTTAGGATGGCAGGGTTGACCTTCAGCCCAAATCACAACAAAACTCGGTGAAAGAGAACCCTCTACCTCACCTAGCCAACTTAGCTATTTTTGGACTTTTACATGAAAGAGAAATAAGGTTTTGTCTTTCTTCAGTCACTCTATTATTAAGATTCTTGATTATAACAAGTTAGTTTCTAATTAGCATAACAAGTTTATTCATCTTCAAAACAATGCTATTATTGTTATCATTTATAGAATGGAAAGTAAAACAGAGAGTACATACAGCTTATAAAGATTAGCACTGAGATCCAAACTCATACAGTTTGGCCTAACAACCTATGTTTATTGCCTTTTATATTGACTATTAAATTCACTTCTAACTCTGAGATTCTATGTGATTATGGTGATGGTAGTGGTTCTAATTTGTGCCCAAACTATGCTTATTATTGTAATTCAAATACATCTGAGATGAGTTTTGTGGACAGGGAGCTATTATGCCTCCACATCTATAGACCGATCTGAATAAATTGGTACTGATTAAAGTGTGTGGGGAAGACAATTTAAAAGGAGTTTATCTATCCCGGAGCATTGTCTGACATCTATGAAAAGATGCTGAGGGCAGAAAATAGGGAACTGATTTTACAACTGAGACTTTCATGGAGTCACTGAAACTTTCATGGGGTCAAGGAGGTCACTGAAATAATGGAGTCACTGAAACTTTCATGGGGAAATTGTTCTTTGGCTCTGTAGTATTTGTACTACAGAAGTACAGTACTACCAGGAAACCTTTCTGTATTTCCTAGTTAGAACCAAGTTTCCACATCTATGGCTTCTCTTTATACTTTGCATCTTTTACGGCACTTGTGAAAACTGTTTCATATTAAAGTTATTTGTGTATTTTCCTGTCTCATTGATATACTTACTCATACATGTTAAATGTATTGAAAGCTTATTTACCACTACAGGCAATGTCTTTTTGAACAACACAGAAAGAATAGACTAATAACTTCAAGCAAATTAAGGTCAATGTCCATGCTTTAATTACATTTTTACCTTTTTATTTTACCTACCTTTATCGTAGTGGACAGAACAATTTCTTATAAGTGCTTAGCACACATTCAATATCTATTGGTTTTCTAGGACTACTGAGGACAGAACGTATAATAAAGAAATGTAGAAATTCAGGAGCCATGAAGGAGCAGACAGGGGGCTTCCTGATGCATGGAGAACCTCTAATAGGAAAAGCTTCACAACAGAAGGAAGGAAGGATAGTAGAGGAGGTATGGACATAAACATTTCTTAGGAACACAGTCGTGGTTGTATCAAGCAAAGAGAATCTCAAAGATGCAAAGACTTAAGAGATTAGTAAGCAAGATGTTAGTTTAGTGGTTTTAATAGTGTAATTTTTAACCAGTGTGTGAAAGCCAAAAAGTCTAAAATAATTTATGGATAAGATATTTGGACCAACGACTCAGACCTGAAAAAAAATTAGCTGTCTGAGCATCTAGTAACACAACTTCGGTTTAATTTAGACTACAAAGGCTATACTTCCCTAACTTAACAAATATGTTTGGCATTTGCCTTGGAGATTTTTTTTTTTTTTTTTTTTAATTCACTTTGGAATATGCTGAACCTGGCCTGGCGCGTGGCTCATGCCTGTAATCCCAGGGCTCTGGGAGGCAGAGGAAGGGCGGATGGTGAGGTCAGGAGATCGAGACCATCCTGGCTAACACGGTGAAACCCCGTCTCTACTAAAAATACAAAAAAAAATTAGCCGGGCGTGGTGGCGGGTGCGTGTAGTCCCAGCTACTAGGGAGGCTGAGGCAGGAGAATGGCGTAAACCTGGGAGGCGGAGCTTGCATTGAGCCAAGATCGCGCCACTGCACTCCAGCTTGGGCGACAGAGTGAGACTCCGTCTCAAAAAAAACAAAACAAAACAAACAAAAAAAAGTGCTGAACCTGCGTTGCAGATTATAAAAGGAGGAAAGAGATCTAAAAGTACAAAGAAGTCTGAATTCCTTGGCAGAGCTGTTAGGGAAGTTGACTAGATACTATTAAGGTTGGAGACGTCCCGGTCAATGTGCTCCCATTGTTTTGTGTCTGAGCTCAGGAAAAGATTTTCAGTGACTGGTTTGCCTTGGAACCTTCAACTTTGTAAAAGTTGAGCTTTCTTCTCAAAAGACAGATCCTGAGCAGACTGTCATCTCTACCTCTAAAAGAATTTCCCTCTTACCTTGGAAAATTTGAGCAAGAAGAATGAGAGCAGCAAAAATAAAGAAAAATATTTTCATGGCTCCAGGCATCAGGGGACAGCTGATGAAGGAAGTGCAGTAGCTGGAATCAAGCTCTTTTATCAAGGGGCATTGATTAAAATATGTTCTACTGCCCTGAAGGGGCTGGAAGTCAACTTTGGTTTATAATGTTCGTTGGGAACATACTATTTTCCATGCCCCACTGATTCATGCGTGGGCTGATGGATCAGATTTTATCTAAATCACATTTATGGGAGAGAAACGCAGAGAACTCTGCCTTTCTGCCTGGAATATTCTATTCTGTGTCTTTGTTTAGACTTCTTTCATTTTTCCTTCAAGTCTTATCTCAAGTATTACCATGTCAATAAGATACATAGCCACCATCCTTTTTCTAGAACATGATTTTACATAAAACCTCTTCTTAAAAAAAATTAAAACAAAGAAACAAAAACCTTTAATTTTAAGTTCAGGAGTACATGGGCAGCTTTTTATTTTGTTTTTGTTTTGTTTTGTTTTGTTTTGACACTCTATTGCGTGGAGTGCTATTGCTTAAGGAGAAAAGGGTTAATCCATCAAAAATACATAAAAACCATTAATATGTTTTTATATTATTTGATTTAATTGAAGGGAGAAATAGACATTTCTATATTTATAGCAGAACATTTTTACACCACTCTGTCAGCAACTGATAGAACACAGGGAAAAATTAGCAAAGTCATGCATGATCTGAACAATACCACCATTCCATCGACTAAATTGATATTTATAGAACACGTCATAAGATAACTGAAAAATACACATTTTTTCAAGTACATATGATACATTCATACATATAAACCATATGCTAGGCCATAAAACAAATATTGATGTGTTTAAAAACACTTAAATTCTTCAGAGTATATTTCTCACCACAAGGTGATTAAACTGGAAATCTATAAAATAAGCTATTTAGGATATTTCCAAATATGTGGAAATAAAGCAACATAATTCTAGATTGTGTATGCATCAAAGAATGAACAATCAGAATAATTGGAAATCATTTCTATATATCAAATTTTGTGGAACACAACAAAACAATGACTTTGAAAGAAATTTGTATCCAAATACTTATCGTAGAAAAGAAGAAATGTTTAAATCTATGACTTAAAATTATGCTCTAAGAACCTTAGAAAAGGGAACAATGTAAGCCCAATTATACAGAATAAATGAAAAAGAAGTTGTCACTACAGATCCAAGAAACATTAAAATAATATAAAAATTTTATCAACATGTATATGCCAAAACATTTCACAACTTACATAAAATGGAAAAATTCTCTCAAAAATTTAACTTACCAAAATTGACACAAGAATTAGCAGAAAATATAAGTATTTATATATCTCTTAAGGAAATTAAATATGTTATTAAATGAAGAATGGCTTCTGCTTAAGATGTAGAAATATGTAAAGAAAATCATCCCACACAAAACAAATACACAGAAAAACACATGGCAAACTGCAAATATTCAGTTTCTTGAACTCATTGGAAAGCTAAGGTCACAAGTCAGCCACCAACCTACAAATATAAGAAAAGACAGGAACCTCCAAAAAATGAAGAACATGAGAGCTTGCTCACTGAAGCGGATTACCCCCAGAATATGATTTAAAAGATTTCAAGTAAAGTCTGTAAAGAATTGCTAAGAGCAAGTATAAACTGGAGAAACAATATAAACTTCTGGAGTCACAGACAAAAGAGAAATTCACACCAACGTCTAATGTCTTCTCCATAGACTCAGCAGGTGCTTACAGAAAAGATCAGAGTATTTCATGATGTAAGTTGGGTGAGGGGAAGAGCAGCCAGTGTGAGAAAGAACGAAAGCTTGCAAGAATCTTTCTCTTATATGGAAAAGAAAGTCTTAATTTCTTAATTAAGAAACTGGAGGAAGAACAACACTTGTTTGTACAGCACTGGTGCAATAAACAATCTAAAAAATGCAAAACAAAATATTAAAGCTAGGAGAACTAGGAGAAGGGAGCACATTAAAAAACAAAAACAAAAAACATTCTCTACTTTGTCAACAGAGAAGGCATATATGCCTCCTGCCGGTAGAAAGATGACAGAATAACTGCAGCAAACTTCTCATCAAAAAATATGCAAGCCAGGCCAGGTGTGGTGATTCACACCTGTAATCCCAGCACTTTGGGAGGCCGAGGTGGGCAGATCACTTGAGCCAGGAGTTTAGTTTGTGACTAGCCTGGGCAACATAATGAGACCCCATCTCTACAAAACATACAAAAATTAACTGGACATGGTGGCAGGCACCTGTGATCTGTCACCTCAGGAGGCTGAGGTGGGAGGATCATTTGAGCTCCAGAGGCAGAGAATGCAGTGAGCCGAGATCATGCCACTGCACTGAGCATCAGAATGAGACCCTATCTGAAAAAAAAAAAAATCGAGGCAGAAGAAAATGGAATAACATCTTCACAATGTACCAGTGAAGTCATTTGGTCCTGGGTTTTACTATGTGGGAGTTTTGTTAGTGTTATTATTATCAGTTCATGTACTTTATTTGTTATTGGTTCATTTTAGACTTTCTATATCTTCTTGAATTAGGTTTGATATGTATGCATTTCTAGGCATTTATTCATCTAGGTTATCAAAATTGTTGCCATACAATTGTTTACAGTATTCCTTTATAATACTTTTGAAAAAATTTTCCTAAGATCATTTGTAAAACTTCTCTTTCACTCATGGTTTTGGTAATATGAGTATTCTCTTTTTTTCTTAGTCAGTCTAGTTAGAGGCTTGTCAATTTTGTTGATCATTTCAAAAAATGAATTTTTTTTGTTGATTTGTTCTATTGTTTTCTTAGTTTCTATGTCATTTATTTTCACTCTAATATTTATTATTTTCTTCCTTCTGCTTGCTTTGGGTTTAGTTGGCTCTTCCTTAATTTTCTTGAGATGGAAAATAATTCCATCTTCCATCTCAAGATGGAATTTTAAATCTATCTGATTTTAAATCTATCTTCTTTATAAATATAGGCATTTGCAACTATAAATTTTCCTTTAAGCATTTTTTTAGCTGTACCAGTTTTGGTAAGTTGTTGTTGTGTTGTGTATTTTAAAGTGTTTTGGGGATTCCCTTTAAAATATTTTCTATGTTTCCTTATGTTTTCTGCTTTGACCCATCATTTATTTACACTTGTGTTGTTTAATTTCCACGTAGTTGTGACTTTCCCAAATTTCTTTCTATTATCCCATTGGGTTCAGAGAATATACTTTGTATGATTCCTATCCTTTTAAATGTATTGAGGGAGCTTGTTTTTAAATCTAACATACAGTCTATTCTAAAGAATATTTCATGTGAACAGAAGAAGAATGTGTATTTTGCTGTAACTGGTGCAGTGTTCCACAGATGACTTTGAGGTCTAATTGTTTTACAGTACTGCTCAAATCTTATATTTCCTTGCTAATCTTTTTTCTAGTTGTTTTGTCTATTATTAAAAGTGGTATATTAAAGTCTACTGCTATTACTGTTGAATTCTCTATTTCTCTCTTCAATTCTGTCCATTTTCCCTTCATGTATTTTGGCACTCTGTTGTTAGGGGCATGTGTTTAAACTTGTTATATGATCTTGATGGGTTAACTCGCTAACATTATAAAATGCCCTTCTTCATCTTTAGTACCAATTGTGTCTTGAAGTTTATTTTGTGCACTATTAGTATAGCCACTACAGCTCTCTTTTGGTTATGGTTTGTATGGCAAATCTCTTTCCATCCTTTTACTTTCAGCTTCTTTGTTTCCATGAATCTAAAGTGTAAAGAAAAAGTGTTCCTGGACCAAACTGAGGGCCGGGCTGCTATTTCTCACAGCCCAATAACGAGATGCAAATAAACTGGGGAGGAAGAGAGCTTTTATTTCTGCAACCAGTTACAGGGAGAAGGCCTGGAAATTATCACCAGACCAACTTAAAATTACAAAGTTTTCCGGAGCTTATATACCTTCTAAACTATATGTCTGTGTGTAAGTGTGCATTCATCTAAAGACCTAAGTTATTAACTTCTTTTAATCTATAACTAAGGTCTGAGTCCTGAACACCTTCCTCTAGAGCCTCCATAAATGTACTTAATCAAAATGGGTCCAGGTGCTGGGGTTATTACCCTTATCTTGTCTCCTGCTAAATCACTGATGTTTAGGGAGTTCTTCAGACCTCCCACAAACTTGTTTAATCCTAAACGAGTCCTATTAAGAACTCCTTCGTTATTTTGTCACGCTTTAAGGCCCAGGAAAGGCCTAAGCAAAACTCTTGGTGGAATTTTGTTACATTCCAGCCTTTATATGAGGGCACTGTTTTTTAAGCTTTTAATATTTAACTTAACCACTTAGTGAGTACTAAAACAGTTGTTATGGAGGCTTGGATTAGTAGACCTGGCCTGCCACAAAAGGGGATAATTTGTGACTAGGTGAGCACCTGTGGGAAGTGTCCCCTGAAGCTGCCATCTGGATGCTACATGAGGTCATTATCAGGGCACAGCTACTGGTCTACCACGTTGTATGACTGAGACACTCACATGAATCTTTCATTAGAAGAAACTTCAACTAGGTTCCAGAGCATTTTTTTACGATAAAGCAATGCAGTATTTGGAATGAGTAAGTAGTATTCCAGTTTCCTGGTGTTCTGTAAGCTAGCAGCTGCATTTGCACTGTGGAGACCTGGGGAGGAGGAGCATCTGCGAGCAGATAATTACTGTGAACTGGACTCTTAAGACCAAATACCCTACTTCCCACTGCCCTGGGGTAATTCTTGTAGAAATGTAGGAAACACTCTAGGCTTCTTGAGGGCTGTGTTTCAAATCTCTTTTGGAGAACAGTGGCTCATATGTAAATAGAATGAATCTAAAAATTGAATCAGTCAAGCATTAAAAGGTTTCCCCCAATAGATAGTTCCAAAGAAAGAATTTAATACGTACAGATAAAGTGTTGGAAAAGATGACAATGCAAAGCGGGAGCAATGAGGCAAACTTACTGATAGTCACAGCTGAAATCTCCCACTGCCCTAAGGTTTGAGGAAAGACGGAAGGATGTGTGTGAGCCTGGGAGCGGCACTGGCTGGCAGAAGCTAAACTTGCGGTGGGACTGCCAAGTGAGAGCAGAAGACAGAAAAGCAGGGGCGTGGCTGAGCGGGAAGAGCCACTGCTGGAGAAGAGAGGGAGTCGGGGAGAGATACACACTGCCCTCCCTTCTTCAGTCTCCCATTCTCCTAGGAGACACTTACATTGACCAAAACCAGCCAGAAGTCAGGAAGCCTAGAAAATGTAGTTTACATTTAACAGTTCCCATTTTACTCAGCAACGCAGAAAAAAACAAGGAACAGATTTGAGCACAAAGAGACAAATAATAGGTCCAAATGTTAAACAAAACATTGTTTAGTCTCATCCGTTAAAACTAAGTAACCAAGTTCAAGTCACTGGTCATAGGGCTGGTAATTTTGACCTTTATTTTGTGAAGCTGGATTTTATTTCACAAGGCAAAAGTTATACAGTCAACCATTTATGTACATTCTGTGTTGAACATTTTCAGTTAATCTCTAATCATTTTCTTTCACAGGTAAATACACCATAAGTACTAGAATCAATGAATGACAGTATTTAGGCAAACCAAGAAACAATGTGAATATAAAAATAATGTATTTGATGGAGTTATTACTTCATTAACATAGTTAGTACATGCAGATGGATACACAGAACGAGACAGCAATGTGCACACCAGTTACTGGATCCTAGCTGTGGCTCTGAAGAACTGCCAGCCTCTTGAGCCTCAATATTTTCAAATATAAATAGGAGTAAAAAAACCTACCTCGTAAGGTAATCATGAGTCATATGAGAGAAGTATGGAAAATATTTCATAAATTATAAGGTACTCTACAAATACATAGTAGTGGTATCTGACTGAGCAGATACTAGGTACACGTTTTTTTTAAAGGTCATCTCGCCCAGCGTGGTGGCTTATGCCTATAATCCCAGCACTTTGGGAGGCCAAGGCGGGCAGATGCCCTAAGGTCAGGAGATCGAGACCAGCCTTGCCAACAGGGTGAAACCCCGTCTCTAGTAAAAATAGAAAAATTAGCAGGGCATGGCAGCATAAGCCTGTAGGCTGAAGCAGGAGAATCGCTTGAACCCGGGAGGTAGAGGTTGCAGTGAGCCAAGATCGAGCCACTGCACTCCAGCCTGGGTGACAGAGTGAGACTCTATCTCAAAAAAAAAAAAAAATCATCTTTTAAAAATAAGCAATAAAATAAAAATAAAACAAAGAGAGAAAGAAATGAGACTGATTCTGAGACTCACTGACTGTGAGATGTGGATAAACCACATGACTTCTGTTGAACGTCTTTGACTGTCCAGGCCTGCCTCTACGGCCATCAGTGTGCTGGTCCGGTTTGTCACATCCTCTGTCTGCAGCAGAGGAAGTTCAGCCTGCAGCTTCCATCGGGTTTCTCATTCTCCAGGCACTCCTTCCTGCATTTCCCCCGACCCAGCTTGCACGACTCGCAGACAGCAAACCTCCCTGTGCCAAGAAACAGCTGCTGACGGAGCTTTCCAGGAAATGTCTAGAAATGGGGAACATGTGAAACACCACCAAAAAAAAGGGAGAGTTCATATGTATGATTACAAGGAATATTTTCAAGAACGGGCCCAGAGTTTTCAAAAAGAGCTCCTGCCTTTTGCAGGAGGGAGTTGGGGAGAGTTAGTTTTTAAGCAACAGATCATCACAATTCCTACTCTCCAAGTGTTTGTCATCTTGCAGGGATCAAAAGTAAACCACAGGCAGACAAAGAGACATACGTATTACAGAACTATAAAAATAGATACCTGATATGACTGTGAAGTTTGCTAGACAAAAATGGGAGGGGTACATTGTGGTTTTGAAAAGATCCTCGAAGATGAAGTTAAGAAACTTAGGTTCAACTCTTGTTTGGGCCTAGTAATCGCCAGGTTCTTAAGGTCCACATTCTCATTTGTCCAGTGGCCATTCGAGAAGCACCTGACTACATTTTAAAATCTGTTTAGGGACCAAATGGAATATTATATGCAAATATTTTTGTTATAATAATACCTACCACATAGGAGTGTTTTGAGGATTACATGACAAACTCCGTGAAAAGTTTTTAACAGGATGCCTAGTACAGAGCAAACACTCAAGTACTAGTAGCAACCTTAATATTTCTCACTTTGAAATTCTGTCTAAAACCTTTTCAACTTTGTCTACAATATTTCTTTTAGTTTTGTTTACAATGTGCTTTCTTTCTGTGTAAGATGACTTCAAAGAAAAAGAAAAGATCTGGGGGCTATTCGTTATGAATAGTTTTTCTGCAGTGGTGCTGAGTTTTCATTGAAGCAACCTCACTCTTTAATTTGAGCTTCCGTCAACTAACCTCATGCATTTGTGACATATATTATTACCAGACTTAGAAGCAGAGCTTGCAAGAGATGGGCAGGCATGTTCACAGAGCAGTGCTAATTGGCTGGTACAAGACTAAATCTAAGAACTTGGTTTAGTGAACACCAACAGCTAGTGGGAAAAACCACTGAGTCCAAATCTCTATGGCCAAATTACAGTCCAGTCACAAAGATATTTTTCTATGAAATCAAAAATATCCAAATATTATCCTTGGAACAAGAAAAAGAGAAGAAGACAAGTTAGTGAACTGGTTTTTCAGACAATTCTGTTTCCACCACTATCTCTGTCCCCTCTTTGTCTCCAGACATCAGAGAGAGCCAACAGAGCCAGAGTTCCTAAGAGAAAAAATAATTATATAGAAGATATTTAACTTACCTGATGGAAATGGCTCGGAAAACTCAAGTCCTGCCTGGCACCCTAAATTCAAAACAAAATACATTTTGAAGATTAAAATCAACACAGGAATTAACACTGTATAAAACATTCCCAACTCCACGTGTGACATGGTATAGACAGTAGATCACAGAGTTGCAATCTTTATTCTATTTCTCAAGGCCAGCATTCAGGTAACCAGCAAAAACAAATCACAAAAAACATATACTATATGCAGTTTGCTCTTAGAAAATGTCACTGTAGGTCTAAGAAATTCCCATGACAGGCACCATGAGAGCTTGACCATTAAGGTCAAACATCGAAGAATCATCAGGCTTTATAATCTGCCCAATCGAAATCCCATCCATTTTTATTTACCTGGTGGCTGTTGAACCAAAATGAAGAACACGGCAAATACAAAATAAAATGTCTTCCTGATCAGGGCCATCTTTTAGGGAAGACTCTTCAGAATAGAGATTGGGATTTCCTTGAGAAGACCCAAACGAGAGGCTCATTTTTATTTAAAAGTAATGGGGAGATGCTCTTGATCAGTGAAGCGAGCCAATAAAAGCACAATTATATGCTCCATTTCCCAGGATCAAGGGATGATATCATGGATAATAACCCTTGGCATCCAGAAAGCCTTTTATTTTGGGGAGCCTAACTGGTGTAGTGGAAAGAACACCAGGCTAGAGGTTGAAAGAGCAGGGCCCATGCTAGTTTCTGCCATACTAATGCAGGGGCTGGAAGCTAGTGACTCCTTTCATCTCTTCCAGCTTCTGTTTTCTGGGAGAAGATAAGAACCCACTCGCAAATTCTGCTTGCCTCTCAAGGTTTTGTAAGAATCTAGTATGATTATAACGCAGAAGTGTTTTGAACATGTGGAATGCTTAGAAGGAGGCCTGGTACCATGTAAGAACTCAGTAAATGTGAACTCTCACTTTTCTAGCTTTCATTTTTATTGTCTACAAGTATCACAGGGAGAAAAGGAGGGGCAGCAATCATTTTGTCCAGTTAGTTCTGAGTCCCCTTTCCTGTAAGATACCACTTCACACACCAAAGTCATAATTACTGCATATTTTGAATTCATTAAGGAAATGGGTATTGGCCCAGATGTGTGGCTTATGTCTATTATCATAGCTTTTGGGGAAGCTAAGGCAGGTGGATTGCTTGAGACCAGGAGTTCTGAGACCAGCCAGAGCAACACAGTGAGACCTTGTCTCCACAAAAATAAATAAATAAATAAATAAATAAATAAATAAATAAATAAATGTTTTTAATTTGCTAGGCACAGTGGTATGTTCCTGGAGTCACAGCTACTTGGGAGGCTGATGTGGGAGGATCACCTGAGCCAGCAGTTTAAGGCTGCAGTGAGCCATAAGCATGCCACTGCACTCCAGCCTGGGCAACGGAGCGAGATTCTGTTTCAAAACAACAACAACAACAACAACAACAACAACAAACACCAAAAAAACACACAAAAAAAGTGGAATGAAAAGCAAGATTTATACCATCTTCCCCTCAAATAAGTTCCGCTTATTCCTACCCTGTTGCCTATATTTACGTGATGTTCTGTTCTTCATTTCTGTAATGTAAAGTAGAAAAATTTTTAAATACAGACTACAAAGTATACGACTTACAAAGTATATGACCTTGGATAGGTTGCTTAATTTGATGAACCTCAAGTTTCCTAACCCTTAAAATGAATATATAATTATGGTACTTAGTCACAGAGCATTTAAGAGGCTTGCTGAGATAAGGTATATAGAGTACTTAGCAGAGTTCCTGGCTACTATCACTAGTACTACCTGTACATTTCTCTCTACTCAGCCTTGAACCGAAGTTTTCTGTAAACACTTTTTCAAGTTCATTAATTCACCATGAACCTTTTCTGACTATGCAGGAAGGCACTCATTTTTATGTTGCTGCTGTGACTTGCAAACAATTCAGATTCAGAATCCAAGCTAATGCCTGTGTACATAGGGCATAGGGCCGAGTCTCCGGCCTTTCAGCTTTTAGGCATTTTGTATAGCCTGCATCAGGACCAGCCTCCTAGGTAAATGCCCAGTGCAGTCACAGCTCTCTGCCTTAACTTGAGGTTTAATGCTCTGCAGTCACTGTTTTGAAAGTCTTAATAACTTTACCTTTGAATATATGCATTGTAAATAAGTCTGATGGGACAGTGGAGCATGCTCTGGGACTTTGGAAGCATGGCTTATGTGCACTCCAGACTACCTTTCCCCTTTCACCTTCCTGGGAGTATTCTTAGCCACTCGTCCCTCACTCTTGGCACCCTGGGCCCCACCTGGCCTCCCCCTTACTATCCTCTTCCAGCAACCATCCACCCCACAGTGGCCTGGCTGTGAATATGCAAAGGACTGGAGTTGAGTGTCTAAGCCCTGAGTATCTAGGGCAAGGCATGATGGTTACCAGCCCCTTGCTGTGCCAACGGTGCCATGATACAGGTGGGCAGCATGGCAGGACCCAGCACAAAAAGCGTGCAGCATACAGCAAGATTCAAATTTTTTAACAAATATATGCTTAGGTCAAGCCCTTTGCCAAGTTTGCAAAGCTCAAAAAGACTGAATCGGGAATTCAGATTCCACCTCACTATGGTTCATCAGCTCTTAACTGAAGCATTGAGATATTGTATAATTACTCTCATTTTACATATGAGTAAACCAAAAGCTGTTCAGAAGCACAGCCAGAATTAGAAATCAAACTGCTGGACTCCAGATTTTTTTACTTTTTCTGTGTCTGCCTTACTCTGTCCTCCCTTCATCCCCACTTTCCTTCTTGAAAACTTTCCAGAATCAGAAAAAATGATGAGCTGTAGACTGAGTGACACCCACTGAGGTTGGCTGGGCTCTGTGCAGCAGAGCATGGAAATCCTCTCGTTTCTGATAAGCCTCACTGATCAAGATGTTACTTGGTCTGGAGAAATGTATAAATGCGGATGTTTGCTGCTCTTTCCTCATGGACACGGCGCTGATCTCTCAAGACGCTCCCAGTCATGAGGACTTTCCTCTTTCTCTTTGTTGTGCTCTTCTTTCTGACCCCAGGTAAAATGGGCATCTTTACAGGGAAGGTGATCGGAGGCGGTGTCCCAGAGAGAGGGTCCCCTTCAGTGAACGCCTGGGTGTGATCAACCCATCTACTACAAGAGGTGATATCCCCCAACGCCTCTTCTGTAAATCCTTTGCATTTTACATTCTTATCTAGGAGGGGCTGTCACAGGTTTGAAAGAGTAAAGGAAGGCCAGGAAACATGTCTTTTGGCATCCAGTCTCATGCTCACTAACAAAAACAAAAACTGAAAAAAAATTAAAAACAAGGATAGCAGCCTATGAACCTTTTAAAATACAGTTATGGTAGAGATTGAGACAGGTAAAGAGGAGAGAGAGGTAAGGATCTGAGCTTAGAGACACCTATGCATGCATGCCAGTCATGGCAACAGGTAAAGCAGCATAGCTTGGACTGCCATTTCTTAATCACATATCATCAAGCCACGTACTGTGATGAGAGTTTCACATAAAATGCATCTAGTCTTCCAATGCCAGTGCCTTTAAGGAAAACTCTATCCTACCTCTAATTTAATGGCAGTTAGAGAAAATCTTTTTGGGTTTGAAGGTCCATTTTACAAATTTTATTACAGATGCAGAAATTGTGCCTCAGATGGGCTGCTTCTCAGAGTCATATAGATAACCAAAACAAAGTCAGGGCAGGAGCCCAACTGTCTTGCCACAGTAAGAGGCATTAAAGACGCCCTTCCCATATCAAAACTCTCTTCACTTTCTCCTGCTCCCGGGAATCTCTGCTGGCTCCAATTGTATCCTCTCCAAAATGAAGGCGTAAGACTAGGCTCATGTGAGCCTCCAGAGACTTAAAGAAAGGGATTCTCAGAGCCCACAGTAAGTCCCAATTTGTGCCAGATGCCAGTGATATACGATCCCATGTGTAATGCTCAACTTTTCACATCAGCTGCTCATAGCTCTGGTCTGTTTTGTGACAAGCCTGTGAGAGGAGATTCTGTGTCAGGACACGAGGATATAGGACCCACAGTGACCTATGCTGTATTCAGGCCACTGGCTTTGATGTGCACGTTGGAAACTGGCCAGAGGTATCTTTTTCAGATCACTCATACTTATTATATAATTAGTCAAAAAAAGATGTTTAAAACTATAAAATTATCTATTAGATAATACTATAATTATAAAATTATAGATAATTATTTACTATAATTATTATATAATTATAGATTCTTATATCTATCATTACATAACACTTGTTATATAATTATTAGATAACCTAATAATTATCTATTAGATATACTATAGTATAATACTATACTATAATCGAATTTAGAGAAAATCTTTTTGGTTTAGTATAGTATTATAGTATAGCATAGTATATACTATAATTATTTACTAGTATTATAATATGGTATTATACTATAATATTATTAAAGTATAGTATAGTATAATATAGTATAATGTAATATTATATTATAGTATAATATTATACTAGTATTATATACTATATAGTATTATACTAGTATATATACTAGTATATATACTATATATATATATATATATTTTTTTTTTTTTTTGAGACTCTGTTGCCTGGGCTGGAGTGCAGTGGCACAATCTTGGCTCACTGCACTGCAATCTCTGCCTCCCAGGTTCACGCAATTCTCCTGCCTCAGCCTCCTGAGTAGCTGGGATTACAGGCACATGCCATCATGCCCGGCTAATTTTTTGTAATTTTAGTAGAGATGGGATTTCACCATGTTGGTCAGGCTGGTCTCGAACTCCTGACCTTGTGATCCACCTGCCTCAGTCTCCCAAAGTGCTGGGATTACAAGTGTGAGCCACTGCACCCGGCCAGATACTATATTATACTAGTATATTATTGCTAGTAGTATTATATACTAGTATATAGTATAGTATATATACAAGTATAATACTATAGTATACACTTTTATACTAGTATATGCTATAATACTAGTATTTTTATAGTATATATTAAGCTATACTATAATACTATACTAAACCAAAAGATTTTATCTGAATACCACACTGTAGTCTATAGTATAGTATATTAGTATCTGCCTTACAGTAGGGCAGAGAAAACATAGACCCCTGGCAGTGAGAGCCAGGGTTCATCGAGCTTTGAAATAGTGGAGTATTTTCACTTATGAACTGATGTGCTCATCCTGGATAATGCTGGCACTAATCCATCTGGCTGTAAGTTTTACGTAGATGTGAATTAGGCACCTTTATATGTTGGCATTAAATATATGTACATTATAGTATAGACATTAAATGCAATCTCTGTACATCTGATGCCTTCATTATGTATACACAAATTGGGCAACTCTAAAATGTTGATCCTGGTAAGATGTGCTGTCTGTCCTTAACTTGAAGCAGGTTGCTCTTGAGACTGCTACTGATAAAGCCCTAAGGTGGGAACTGGAATTCTATGCAAACTGAACAGAGAAA